GTGCCAAGCGAGAGCCCCTCAATCCTTAGGTGGCAACATTTTTATTCCCCGAATGGAGAATCTTTGTAGTTGGCTTCAAATGCGCCCCTTAATATGTATTTAAGAAAGAACCGCTCATTGCGAACCCCCCCCCCCCCTGCCACCGTATTCCTATGACAGGGAATACGGTGCCAAGCGAGAGCCCCTCAATCCTTATTTCATAAAACCATGAAACAAGTTGTTGTTGCTTAAAATAGTCTCTACCCTCTCAGAGAAGTAACGTATAAGAGCACAGCAGGCCACTCGGTAGTCGAGAGTTTGAGACCTACCCTGAAAATCATCTCCTAATGTAAGTCACCTTTATTTTCAATGAAACTTGTGACATATGACATTGTCCTGTCGAGGAAAGGGGGCGCTCAGCTTAATACCTGGAAATGGCACCACCCCCTTTCATTATTAAAACAAAAAAAGAGTATAAATATAATGTAAATATACATATCATATAAAAGGCCTCTGGTATATTCTTTGCAACTAAACATACGCAATATACCAACCACCCAGGCCTTCAAAACTGCACTAAAAACATATCTCTTTAAACTATACTACACCGACTGATTCCCCTCTGTGTCCATAGCCCAAAAGCTATGGTTCCTATGTAGTCTGTGTCCATAGCCCCAAAGCTATGGTTCCTATGTAGTCTGTGTCCATAGCCCCAAAGCTATGGTTCCTATGTAGTCTGTGTCCATAGCCCCAAAGCTATGTTTCCTATGTAGTCTGTGTCCATAGCCCCAAAGCTATGGTTCCTATGTAGTCTGTACCGATAGCCCTAAAGCTATGGTTCCTATATAGTCTGTTCCCCTAGTGTTTTTCTAATAGAAGGCTGAAGGAGCTGTCACTTCAATCGGTTCGTAAATCTTTGCTGTCTATGTTGTCTGTGACCATTGCCCCAAAGATATGCTCCCTATGTTGTCTGTGACCATTGTCCCAAAGATATGTTCCCTATGTTGTCTGTGACCATTGTCATAAAAAAGTACCCTATGTTGTCTGTGACCATTGTCCCAAAGATATGTTCCCTATGTTGTCTGTGACCATTGTCCCAAAGATATGCTCCCTATGTTGTCTGTGACCATTGTCATAAAAAAGTACCCTATGTTGTCTGTGACCATTGTCCCAAAGATATGCTCCCTATGTTGTCTGTGACCATTGTCCCAAAGCTATTCTCCCTATGTTATCTGTGACCATTGCCCCAAAGCTATGTTCCCTATGTTGTCTGTGACCATTGTCCCAAACCTTTGCTACCTATGTTGTCTGTGACCATGGTTCCAAAGCTTTGTCCCCTAAGTAGTAAACCTGAGTAAAAAGTGAGCTCGAGCCCACATATTGGGCCCCACCAAGAGATTTTCACAGCACATTTCACGATGGAGAGATGGCGAACCGCTCTAAGCAAGTGCACAACGGCAAAATCACCAGGGCCCAATAAGGCTCGTAATTAAGTGTTACCCCACCTGGGGAAACAATGGAGATAGATTTTGCTGGCTCTCATAAACGGAACCTGGACTATAGACAAGCTGCGAAGTTGTGGGAAAAGGCAATAGTCATGCCCATTGCAAAAGATGGCAAACCAGCGCATCTGCCAGCCACCATCCAATTTTCCTAACATCGTACGTTGGGAAAGTGGCAGAGTGATTGGTTAATGCAAGACTCTACTGGTTTTTAGAGATGAACAAATGCTTACCATCGACGCAAGGGGGGTTCCACAAGGGTCGCCAACCCCTGGACCAAGTCATGCATCAATCCAGTCGATGGCAATGGGCTACAGAAGAGAAATCACGCGGTCACTGTGTTCTTTGATCTGCAGCATGCATTCGATGCAGTTTTGCGCAGGGGCCTCATGTATCAGTGCCAGAATCTGGAGATTTCTAGCGAAATGGATGGAGAAATTTTTAAGGAATCGATTGCCACACGGGTTGGCCATAGCCTATCCAATCAGCTTGCCCTAAGAGGACGGAATCCCGCAGGGGTCCGCCCTCAGCTGTATTGTATTCCTGGCCTATGTCTATGATCTACAAGGGGAGCTGGAGTCCAAGGACGCCATGTTTGCTGATGATTGAGTAATCTGGAGCTCAGGTAAGGATGTCAAACAACTGCAGAACCAGCTGCAGGACTACCTAGACAGCATTGAAGCCTATACGGGCAGGTGGCAAATGGTCGTAAACACTGACTCCTTATTCACACTAAAGCATGACATTAAACTATCCGTCTGCGTAAAGACTCTAAAACAGGAAATGACACCAGTGTATTTAGGGGTGAAGTGGATCAGTAGCTTCAACTACATAACCATATACACGAACTAAGTGCCAAATCCACACACAAAAAAACTAAGCATGGTGAAAAGGCTTGCACTGAATGGGGCGTGGACGGAAGACTACTAGGGGCTTTTTACCTTGGTAGCGTGAGAAGTGCAATGGACTACGGTCACCCAGCTCAGTCCTTTGCGAGCCGCACGGCCCTAGAGTGAGTGGACTGCATACAGAACCGAGCTCTCGGGTTTTTGTGTGCGAGGCGATACGCACCACCCCCAAGGCAGACGTAGGCACAACCCCCACGGCAGACGTAGGCACAACCCCCACGGCAGAGGTAGGCACAACCCCCACGGCAGACGTAGGCACAACCCCCACGGCAGACGTAGGCACCACCCCCACGGCAGACGTAGGCACAACCCACACGGCAGACGTAGACAAAACCCCCATGGCAGACGTAGGCACAACTCCACGGCAGACGTAGGCACCACCCCCACGGCAGAAGTAGGCACCACCCCCACGGCTGCAGTAGAAATTCTAGCAGACGTAGAACCACTCGAAACAAGACGTAAAAAGGATGTCCCAACGACGGTATAACGATCCTGACTTATGGACAGACAGGAACCCTGCTTTCAACAACAACATAAATGGGTAAAGACGACCAGGCTTAAGAGGCCCTCCTTTATGGATGCGGTTAACCATCTTGACGGAGATCCGGCATTACCCGAAAGCAGGGAACAAGTGAGAGTTATCCCGGCAAGGGGACCCCCACGAAAGCTTAATCCTACCTGAAATACGTCGTGCCTTGTTAAAAACTGCAGACTCAAAAGCCACACGTCAACTAGAAGTGAAAGAGCAGCGCTAAAAAACGATTACTGCCTATCCAGACAACATGGTAAAAATCTTCACTGAAGGCTCTTGCTTTGCCGGGGAAAATCGCAGTGGCTATGGTGCTCTCATCCAAATACCCAAAAGAGATAGCGTCACCCAATGAGCTATCAGGGCCTTGTGAAAGAATAGAACCAGCCTCAATGCAGAACCAGAAGCAATACTGGTAACCCGTAAGAGAGTCCACCAACACCTGTCGAAAAGGAAAAGTTTCCCCGACATTGTGGTCTTCACAAACTCACACTTTGCTCTTGAGAGTGTGGAAAGCGGCTCCACAGGGACCACAGTGGTAAGCGACGTTCAGGAAACACTTGGTGGCATCCATGCCAAAGGCGCAAAGTATGTTTACGGTATATCCCCGGGGGGTCACTTTGAGGTGACCCAGAATGACCGGGTCGACGCTTTGGCGCCCTAGCCGCAATCCGATACGCCCATGACCATGCTGGCGGTCAAAGCTGGCCTGGAAGACCACTTGCGAGAGGAGTTGCTTAATGCCTGGGCTGATTGTAATATTTGCGGCCAAGTGTACGCTAAGTAACACCTGAATTCGATCCAACGCCTCTAGGATTTCTGATTGTAATACACGTAATCATCAAAACCACATCGAATCATCGATATTTCAAAATTGATTGTAAATTTGAGATCTCGTTTCACCAAAGTAACGACGATGGTGAAGATATGTAACCCTTTATTACCTTTTGCGTAAATCGCTTGCAGTGACTAGAAACCATTAATTGTTACGTGAATCATCTTCTTCGTGTTGTAACAATGCAGTTTGTAAAGCAGTGGTTCTCAACCTTCCTTATGTATTGCCCCTTTAGTACAGTTCCAATTTTCATGGCGACCCCCATCCACAAAAAAATTTTCGTTGCTATTTCATAACTGTAGATTATATGTGTTTTCTGATGGTATTAGGTGACCCCTGGGAAAGGGTCGTGTGACCCTCAAAGGGGTCGCTGGTTTATAGTGAACTCACTGCACACGGCTTATATAAACCAGATATGAAGTCATATTTATGTATAAAATTTGGCGACCATATGTTGTTCGTGAGATTATTCTATCGTTAATGTGTTGTTGTCGGTTTAAGTTGCCAACATAATGTCAACATAAGATTAACATAATACCAACATAATACCAACATAATACCAACATAATACCAACATAATACCAACATAATACCAACATAATACCAACATAAAACAACATAATACCAACTTAATACCAACATAATACCAACGCAATACCAACATAATACCTACAAAATACCAACATAATACCAACACAATACCAACATAATACAACATAATACCAACATAATACCAACATAATACCAACACAATACCAACATAATACCAACTAATACTAACATAATACCAACATAATACCAATACAACACCAACATAATACCAACATTATACCAAAATAATATCAACATTATACCAACATAATACCAACATAATACCAACAAAATACCAACTAATACCAACATAATATCAACATAATACCAAAATAATACCAACATAAAACCAACATAATACCAACATAATACCAACACAATAACAACATAATACCAACAAAATACCAACATAATACCAACATAATACAAACACAATACCAACATAATACCAACAAAATACCAAAATAATACCAACACAATACCAACATAATACCAACAAAATACCAACATAATACCAGCACAATACCAACATAATACCAACAAAATACCAACATAATACCAATACAATACCAACATAATAGCAACACAATACCAACTAATACCAATATAACACTGATTAATATTCTAAACAAGAAACAACAGCTATCAACATTATTCTAAAACTGTGTATTCTGTCCATCTGTTTGTTCATGATTATAAACAGTAGAGTCCATCTGTCTGAATGTGGTTTCATGTTTATAGCTGGTGCTCAGAGCTAGTGGGTTCTCAAGCGATTTTACTGGCGCCCATGACTTGGCGATCTCCGCAAAGGTTTTATTCTTGGTCTCAGGTACGTAGAAATACACAAATATCGCCATCAGTAAGTCTACGCCACAGAAGACGAAGAAGGTGTAAGAATGTAGCTTGGACTGGATTGGGGAAAAGGAAAGAAAAAAATTGAAATGTAATTGATGAGCAGAGCGTGATATCTTTACAAACAAACCAAGAAGCCAATGCTCAACCGGACAAAATGTGAAAATATTTAAGAGGTGTGGGTTGTCCGTAAATGAAACAACAATATCATCATGATGTCATGATGTATGTGACAAATGTCATGATATATGTAACAAATGTCTTTATATGTGACAAATTTGATAATTTGGCAAATGCCATGATATATGCGACAATGCATGATGTGTGACTAACGTCATGATATATGTGATGAATAGCATTTTAATGATATATTTCATGACATAAGTGATGCATGTCATTATGTTGACAAATGTACGTTCTCTTTGCTCCTCCAGCTTCCAACGACCAATTCATCTTAAAAGACAGGTACTTGTCATCTCATAGTTATTGAGATGTACTTACCATCTCATCGTTACTAGCATGTACTTGCCATCTCATAGCTATTATTACTATAAGTGGTTTGATATAGCCAGCCTAGGGCTGGGCTCACTACGCTGTATATACAATTTAAAAAACATAATAAAAAAAACTTTAGCAAATAAATTGACATAAATTAATTAAATAAAACAAAACAAATTTGAATTTAAAACGATTGACATCTCAAGCTATGGACGGCACCCAGCAGCATCGTTTTCCGGGCAGAGGTGGGAATCAGTCAGGAGAGTAGAGTTTAAAGAGATGTGTTTTGGCAGCAGTTTTGAAGGTGGTGATGGTCGGTATATTGTGGTAATGGAAGAGAATTCCATTGTTTGGGGGCACAGAAAGAGAACGATCGTTCACCGTATGTTTTTGTGCGTGTCTTGGGGACAGAAAGGATACGCTCGTCTGCGGAGGAGCCAAGCTGTCGAAAGGGTGAATAGGCAGAGAGAAGTTCCCGAGATGAACTTACCATTTCATCTTTACCGACATGTACCTACCGTTCCAGCTTTACTGACTTGTACTTACCAATAACAACGGGAAAATATAACAGTGAGAGAAGAAACCAAGCATGGTACACAAGATGGCTATGTTCAACCCAGTTCCTCGGGCACTGTGGGGGAACAGCTCACTCAGCATGACCCAGAACACACTAACTGAGGACATACCATAGAATGATCAGTTGGTCAGTTCAGACAATAAAAGAGGACCTACGATAGAATGGTCAGTTAAGACACTAACAGAGGACATTCGATGGATTGGTCAGCTGATCATTTAAGATATAACTGATATACGCGTCATAAATATGTATACTGTTTCTGGGAAGATGGCGTCTAACTTTGGGCTCATCTCCGGGCACCGCTTTTGCTAGCTGCTACCCTGAGAACCTGACTTGATCATGCTTGCCACCAATGCTAACATGACACACATTCCATGCGAAGATTGTCTATTTTTGGCCAGCCTAATGAACCCAGCGCCCAGCATGAACCAGACATTGATACAATCCCTCCTTCAATGCGGTAATCTACACCCTGATTGAGATTGTGGGGGGGGGGGGGGCAAGTTTAGGTTCCAAACACCGGCACCATTAAGAAGGTCAGTCTCCAAACAGCGCCTAACTGGGGCAATATCCAGGAAGCTGGGTATGGGCGTGTCTGGCGGGGGGCTCTATGGGGCGTCCTTTTAGAGAAACCGTATTTAAATCAGCGAGATTGTTAGAACACACACATTCAATATATCGTTGACTTACTCGGTCCAATGGCGAAGAATGCGATGATCATGAGAGACACAACAATGTTGACATATATCAGTGCTTCCACCTGGTCCTGCCATGACAGAAAAGTATTCATTAACTAGGGCTTAGAGCGGGTGCAGCTTTTTTGGTCACACCGTGTCCGGGCATTTGGAGAAAATACCCGGTAGGTTCAAGTGGTACAAAAAACAATAGTCCTACAGACAGTCCTACACCCGACCTGCCGGCCTTTACACAATAGTCCTACAGACAGTCCTACACCCGACCTGTCGGCCTTTAAACAATAAGTCATGAGACAGTCCTACACCCTACCTGCCGGTCTTTAAACAATAGTCCTACAGACAGTCCTACACCTTACCTGCCGGCCTTTAAACAATAGTCCTACAGACAGTCCTACACCCTACCTGCTGGCCTTTAAACAATAGTCCTACAGACAGTCCTACACCGACCTGCCGGCCTTTAAACAATAGTCCTGCAGACAGTCCTACACCCTACCTGCCGGCCTTTAAACAATAGTCCTACAGACAGTCCTACACCCTAGCTGCCGGCCTTTAAACAATAGTCCTACAGACACCCCTACACTAAGGCCGTGGGCCTTTAACGATTAATATAATAGATAGAGAAAAAAAAGAGAGAAAAAAAAACTATTGACCTGAGTTCAACCGCTCGCTGCGTGGCAGTTTTTACTGAGGACTATTGACATAAGACCTGTGGAGTTGAGTCGGTTGTGAAGAGGAAGCAGGACACACCAGAAGCAAAAAATATGTAATAGATCATTTACGGCTGCTGAATTTTTAAAATTTGAAACTGCTTTATAAAAAAACCTCGACTTTTGTTTGTGGGTGGATGGGTGGGTGACATGCAAAATTTACGGCCGGCTCATTGCCCCACTTACCGTCAAGCTATGGAGCCGAAACTTGGCACATAAACTTGTTTCCGATGACAACACATGTTACAACTTTTCAGCCCCAACCCCAAAAAAAAAAATAAGTTTTTCCTCTTTTTGTAGGGGAACATGAAGTAAAATTCCCGATAACTGCGCTAAATGAGATTGTTTTGTTTTTTTATGTATGGCAAGTGGGTTTGATACGTATGAGTTTGTTGTTGTTTTTGGTTTTTCTGAAATAGTTGGTGAAACAAATCAGCGGAATTAAAGACGGTGGGTCATTAGAATATTTGCATAGTTCATGGGCGCGGAAAAACATGTAAGGTTGTGAGCCTTGGGAGGAGGGTTGGGGGGGGGGGGTGACGAATTGGGATTCTTATAAAGCGCGTTGTCTGTGCACATGTTTTATAAAGGATTTACTCAAAAAATTAAAGACGGTGGGTCATTAGAATATTTGCATAGTTCATGGGCGCGGAAAAACATGTAAGGTTGTGAGCCTTGGGAGGAGGGTTGGGGGGGGGGGGGACGAATTGGGATTCTTATAAAGCGCGTTGTCTGTGCACATGTTTTATAAAGGATTTATTCAAAAAACTTTGTCTTAAGGGTTTTTTTCAGTTTAAAAATTAATATAATTCAACATACAGCAGACTTAAAACAGTAATGTGGAAGGACTTACTTGAAACATCATCGTTAACCCGACCACGCCAGAGCACGTGGCCATTCCGATGATTCCGAACTGAAACAGAGGCTTGCGCCCAAATCTGGACAACAGGAGAGCCGTGATCAGGTTGCAAACGAAGAAGGTAGTGCCGGTACCGGAGGTAGCGTACCTAGCATTTCTTTCGCTGAGACCAGCAGATCTGAACAGTTGGGTTGAGAAAAACAGAATCTGTGGGAGGTTCATGGAAAATGTTTACACTTGCTGGCCGATTCCCACATGCTTCACGTCGAGGAACGAACCGTCGAGAGGGGGAGAGATGGAGAAGAGATTAAGAAGTATTATTTCAATTCATTTGGGGCGTCATTTAATGATTAATTGGGGCGTCCTTCAATTTTTAATTGGGGCGTCATTCAGTGATTAGATGGGGTGCCATTTAGTATTAATTCGGGCAAGTTATTCAATGATTAAATGGGGCGTCATTCATTGATTAACGGGCGTCATTCATTGATTAACTGGGGCGTCAGTCATTGATTAAATGAGGCGTCATTCAGTGATTCATCTGGGCGCCATTCAGTGATTAACTGCTGCGTCAGCCAATGATTAATTGGGGCAACATTCGGTGATTAATTTGGGCGTCATCCAGCGCTTAATTGGGGCGTCACGATATTTCAACTTGTTCAAACCATTACTAACTCACGCCATTGTGTCCAGACCAGTTCTGCTGTAGGCCCATTACAATTGTAATTACTAATGGCCGCCTCAGGTGTTTACTTTTAAACAGCTGAAGGGCAGAAACCTGAAAAAGTAAACGTTTTGCTATAGAACATATCAAAACGGTTATGGCATAATTTAGATATAACTCGAGGAATAGATTTCATTGGAAAGACCAGTTGGTTACAAATGTCCTGCCTAATAAGCCTACATAATATCTTGTCAAATAATTATATCTAATGTCCTGCCTAATAAGCCTACATAATATCTTGTCAAATAATTATATCTAATGTCCTGCCTAATAAGCCTACATAATATCTTGTCAAATAATTATATCTAATGTCCTGCCTAATAAGCCTACATAATATCTTGTCAAATAATTATATCTAATGTTACGTCTAAAATCCATTGTTATAATAACTAATTTCACATCAAGTATCTAATGTCACATCATTTATCTAATGATACATCTAACATCCAATGTACCATCATATATATAATGTCACATCTAATATCTAATGTCACATCTAATATCTAATGTCACATCAAATATCTAATGTCACATCAAATATCTAATGTGCAATCAAATATCTCATGTCACATCTAATATCGAATGTCATGTCTAATATATTATGTCACAAGTGGAGCAAAGACGTGGTTGAACAAGTGGCTTTAGGGAAATGTACAAGTAAGTTGATCCGTTTATGACAATTTGAACAGAACTCTTCACCTCTGCTTGCGTCGCCGATTCCTTGAGCTCGGTATGAAGCTGAGCGATGTCTTTGCTAACATCTATCTTGTTTCTTATGGTCTGCAGAGCTGTTAGATAACATTATTCAAGGGCGTCTTTACAATGCATAGCATGTTAATTGTAGAACAGCTTGGGAAAATCTCAGCAAAGTAAATAAAGACAAGCAATTTAAAGTATAGCAAATTTATTTAACGAGGTTTTTTAAACTGATAGGTAGTTTAAGAACACTGTTAAAATTTCTGGTTCGGAAAATTATCAGGAACACAACAGTTGTTAAAGATTTGAACGAGAAAAAAGTTCGCTCACCCAAATTGTGGGTTTAAAAAAACCCAAAAAAAAAACAGAATATGAACCCCAGGTTCACATGTCCATCAGAACATTATTATTACCCATTTTAAGTATAATTTATAACAAGATCTGGCTCTTATTCTTAAGATAGGCAGATTCCTTATTCACTGTGTATACAAACAATGCTGGCTTAATCATAATTATGTATATTATATAAATTCAATGGCATGAACTTTTTTTTAAAATCCAATATCTATAAATTAAGTTAAATACATACAACGTATCTACAGAGATATCACAATTTTCTGTGACGTTTAACTTTGGCTACCTTTAGTATCTACAGAGATATCACAATTTTCTGTGAGGTTTAACTTTGACTACCTTTAGTATCTACAGAGATATCACAATTTTCTGTGAGGTTTAACTTTGACTACCTTTAGTATCTACAGAGATATCCCAATTTTCTATGATGTTTAACTTTGGCTACCTTTAGCATCTAAAGAGATATCACAATTTTCTGTGATGTTTAACTTTGGCTACCTTTAGCATCCACAGAGATATCACATTTTTCTGTGATTTTTAACTTTCACTACCTTTAGCATCTAAAGAGATATCACAATTTTCTGTGAGGTTTAACTTTGACTACCTTTAGTATCTACGGCGATATTACAATTTTCTGTGAGGTTTAACTTTGACTACCTTTAGTATCTACGGCGATATCACAATTTTCTGTGAGGTTTAACTTTGACTACCTTTAGTATCTACGGCGATATTACAATTTTCTGTGAGGTTTAACTTTGACTACCTTTAGTATCTACGGCGATATTACAATTTTCTGTGAGGTTTAACTTTGACTACCTTTAGTATCTACGGCGATATCACAATTTTCTGTGAGGTTTAACTTTGACTACCTTTAGTATCTACGGCGATATTACAATTTTCTATATTTAACTTTGATTTCCTTTAGCATCTCAAGTAATAGCATAGTTTTCTTTATTTTAAATTCGATTACCTTTAGTAGTTCCTGTGATATCATATTTTAAAAAAAAATAGGATTACCTTTAGTGGCTCCGGAGATATCATTTTTCTTCATTAACAGATACCTTGGGCTTTCCGGGCAGAATGGGAAAATGATCAGTTGTAGGCCAAAGAAAATAACCGGAAATCCTGCACCGTGAACGCAAATTAAAGGGGTCAACGGTGATGGTCAAACTCAATGAAGAATGCATGAATGTTCTAAATAAACAAATTTAATTGATTTCAAATGTTCTGATTTTTTTTTTCCTCCAGCAATGATCTAAATCGCGTGACACTTTCTCTCTTTCTAAATCGTTGTTAAAAACAGAAATTTGAATCCAAGGACAGTTTACCTAAGAGAAGATGCCAGTGTTCGTCGTTGCCTAGCAACTCCATGTAGCCCATCACCTGGGCGACGACAAATGAGAAGCTTTGAAATAATTGGCTGATGAGCGCCACGCTTCCTCTCATGGACGGCAGGGACAGCTCCACGGCGTAGGCTATGGCAGTGGTGTAACCCCACCCTAGTAGGAAGGATTGCATATATAAAAATAGGAAAATATGTTTCCTTCAAAGCACACTTCCCAAAGCTGATTTTACTTCAGTCAGTATTTAGTCATTCGTCAGCCTACATAACTGAAGAAAGAGTATTGTGTCGTTAACCCATGGGCCGGCCCTGGGGCTGGGGGAGGGGGGGGGGTTTCAGGGCCTTGGGCTAGCTAAATTTTGCGGGGCCTTTGACATAATACACCACGGTCAGTATCATATTAAGACAGGTCTTAC